GATGTTCGCATTTTCACTAAATATAGCCTCTAGCTTGCAAAGGCCATTTTGGCAAAACAATGACACAAATGACAGAAGATTGAATGTTTTAACCATTGCGGTTTATCTGATTGCTGAGTGCTGGTCGACTATGCTGATCATACCAGTGGTCATTTATGAAGTAGCGGGCTACATTGCATATACGGCTGCCTATTGTGACCTGCTTAGGTGTACCTCATAGATAATTAACTAGTTTAAAATTGATGATGATGACACAATGTTCGAAATGGTAACATTTCAGGAGTGCTATGTTAAATTCAAGGATTTGACCCACGAAACGATATGAATGCCTTACAACGGTGTTTACATTTTATTTACATGGTCTTGACCATTCCGTGACAATTTGGATGTCAGTTTTTCGCATTTTCTCGTCGTCATTCATATGTTGTGTAGCCCAATGTCTGTTCGTCTATAAGTCGTAATCGTCTGTTAAGTAAGTTTCACGACGCTTCAAGGATTACGACAATTAGACCTAGTATTATGGGAATGCTAGCAAACGGCTACTGAAACAATAAAATAACAGCTGTCCTCTTCACAGTTACCATGACTTCGTTTGCCCCCGATTCATAGGTGTTTACGGCTAATAAAATATATGCTTCTTCGCACATAGCATCTACCACGGTGTTCAGGTATAATGAGGTTAGTGTATGAAAGAATTTTCAGTATGATAAGCTGCAAGACTCGTTTTTATATGCGTGTTTGTGTATGTTGAAATTTGTAATGGTGAACCGATTCGTGGCCACCTCGACTCTACCGTTTTGTCGTTACTTGACCTTGAAGCCTAACGGTTCGATATATTCAGTTCTTTGATATGGAGGTCGATGATATTTGAAATCCAGTAGTTGAAGGCCTGAACGAGATTTGAACAGCGACCTATTTTGAATTAATCAACAAGCACAAATCATACAACATTTAAAGGCCCCTAACACACCGACGTACTGTGAAAACAAGTTTTAATTTTTTTTGACAACTTTACCGCTATATCTTCTGCAAGTTGAAGTAAGTTTTTAGCAACTGTCAGAGACGGTTTGTGTGCCTGTGCCAGTTTGAAGGTTATTTTTTTCTAGTCGGGGCCTTTGTGTATGTTTCTGCGCTTGTGTCCACCTCACTCCCTTATGCGCATGTTGTCGACGATCAGCCGACGCACTTCGACGATGACCTTGTTGGGGACACGAATAGCGAGGGGCAACAGAACAAGCACGTGGGTGTACGTCGCTTAGTGTTTACACTAAGGCCATCCGGCCGGCCGTCGAGGCCAATACCTCCATTATGTCTGTTCAGGTGTGCGTCGCACAGGGCGGAAGCGATTAAAGACTGGTGGCCAATTTTGTGCTTAATTAAAGTTTTATTTGCATTTAACTTTACAATGGAATTAAATAAAGCAGACTTGTCAAAGTCACTTGAGTTTAACAACACTATGGTATTTACGTTTTTGATTATGCTTCTTCCTAATTAATACGAGATAACCACAGAGTAGGTTCGATGCCCAAGTTTGTCTGTTTCCTACGACTTGTCGCCATCACTTGTGTATCCTTTCTATCCGATCGTCCCGTGTAAGGCTTGATCTTCCGCATGGCCGTTTGCAGCCCCTTGGGTACCAATCAATTACCATTGAGTTCCTCTGTAATCCGTCAGCGTTACTGTTGTTATGACTTGTTTATTGTTTTCTTGTCTTTTTAACTAATAAAACCTACCACATTCACGTGCACTTTATTATTGCTTCATTTCGCAACCTCCTTCTAATGAAAATTCCCGGCATCTTTTTCC